CGGGACACCTGCCTGGGGACAGGGCACCGGCACCGGGACACCTGCCCGGGGACAGGGCACCGGGACACCTGCCCGGGGACAGGGCACCGGCACCGGGACACCTGCCCGGGGACAGGGCACCGGGACACCTGCCTGGGGACAGGGCACCGGGCACCGGGACACCTGCCCGGGGACAGGGCACCGGGACACCTGCCCGGGGACAGGGCATCGGGACACCTGCCTGGGGACAGGGCACCGGGCATCGGCACCGGGCAGGGTACAGGGCACTGGGCACGGGGCACCAGTACCCGGTACAGGGAACTGGGCACCGGGCGAGGGCCCCAGCCCCAGGAGCAGGCTCTGGGGTCAAGGCCCCGGCACTGGGTGCTGGTGCAGGTGAGCGGGGACAGCGCCAGTCCCGGGGAGTGGCCTCCCAGCTGCGGGCACCAGTACGTCGCTGGGCGGGTACCATGTATTGGGCAGGAGGCGCCGGGCACCAGTCGCCGCACACCAGTCACTGGTGTTGGGAGCACTGGGCACCCGGCACTGGGTACCAGTTAGCTGGTATTGGGTACTGGAACCATGTGTCAGGTACCAAGCACCAGGTCAATGCGCTGGCACCAGACCAGGCACCACGGGCCAGGGCACAGGGCATTGGATCCCAGTCCCTCCCAGTGCTCCCCCTCCCAGAGCTGATGCCGGGACATCCTGCCCGTGGCGCTGCCTTGGCTCGGCTGCGGCTGGCTGGAAACCTGGCAGAGGAACCAGCAACCCCAGGGGCTGCGTCCCTGTCCCCGTCCCCATCCTACATCAAGGGGTCACAGCCCCTTCCCAGGGTGTCCCCAGCCCCAGGCCGCTGCTTTCAGAGGCAGCGAGTGCCAGCGGAAGGCAGGGGAGGACGCTGGCACAGGCGGCCGGGGCAACGTGCAGTGCTTCTGTTCCCGGCCATGAAAGGGGCCGGGGGGGTCTTGGCTGGCAGTGGCTGTTCCCCACGGCGAGCAGCTGGCAGAGGCTCAGCCATCCCCAAATTTTAGCCTCCTGGTCCAGCCGCCCACCAGGGCCACGTCGTCCATCCAAAACACACCCCATGCTGGAGGGCAGCAAGGCCACCCACACCCCCAGAGCATCCCTCTCATGGGTGGCTCCTCCCTGCCTCAGTTTCCCCACCCATAAAACAAAGCCCATCATAATTTCCCAGCAGGGAAAGCTGGCTCTAGCCCTACTGATTCCCACAGGGTGGGGATTCCCTGGGTGGCTCCACAGGGACCGTCTCAGACTTGTCCCCAACCTTGCCACCACCCTGGGCCTTGTCCCTCACCACGTCACAGGGCCGGGCTGTGGCCAGGTGACTTCACATTCCCATTATTCACATAAATAACAGACGGAGGCTCAACACAGCGTGGGGGAGCTCCAGCAGCCACCTGGCCCCGGCCATCTGGGGTGACCGGGCAGCCTGGCAGCCCTTCCCCAACCACTGCCGGCCAAAGGGCTGCAGGCAGGGCTGCAGGCAGGGGCAGGCAGGTGAGGGGGGCTGTTTACATCTCTAATCCCCGCAGGGAGTGCTTTCCTCGGAGATTACCGGGGATTACCGGCTCGGGTGCCCCAGGAGCTCAGCCCCGTCTCTCCTTGCCCTTCAAGGAGCAGCGCTGAGTCCCACGGTGGGCGGGAGGGCAGGCTGAGCACTGCTGTGATGAGCTGGGTGTTCTCAACCATGCTGGCAGGCACAGCCTGGAGTAGCCTCCAGCTTGCCATGGTCTCGTTCCAGTAGCCCAGTGCCCATTGGGGCTGGCAAACTGCAGCCCAGGCTTTAACTAGAGCATTAAAAGCTGAAGGGATCAGCTGTAGATACAAGGGGCTGCATTTTTCTTGGCCAGGGGATGACGCAAGGGGAGCCGGGGTGACGCCGAGGGAGGCTGGCGCTGCTCGAGAGGTCCCCGAGGTCCCTGAGGCACCCCCTCTCCCTTGGCCCGGCTGGCAGCAGCGTTATCAGGGCATAGCCCAGCACGGCCCAGCAGGGCTGGGAAGCTGCTGTGATCCGCTACTGGGGACCAGAGCTCTATAATTACCAGGGGAGGCTGAGTTATTTTGGGAAGTGGCTATGCAGCTGCCAAAGCTTTTATTCCTCCAAACCAAAACAAGATGGGAAGAGCCCAGCCCAGGATGCTGCATCCGGCGGGCACAGGGAGGTTAACCCCTTTGCCTCCTCACTGCCTGCACCCGGGGGACTGCCTGCTCCCCCCTGTCTGCACCCCACATTGCCCCGGCATCAGGGCTGGGTGTCAGGGGTTTTGGTTGCACTGGGGGGTGGATTTAAGTAAGGGGTTCGGGGGAGGAAGATTTGTGGTTGCAGAGGCCAGAGGGTGTCTGCCAGGCATGAGATGGGGCTGGGGGGTCAGTCCCGACCTTGGCTGCTGGCAGGTTCAGAGGCCACATATTCGGATGCTTTTCTGCATCCACCGTGAGAACCACTATTTTTAGCTCTTTCTGTTGCAACGGGTCCAGTTTTTGGGCCTTCCCAGCACAGAGGCTGGGGTGAGGAATGCCAGGCAGAGCGGAGCACCTCACCACTGCTCCAAATAAAATGTCCCAGAGGACAAAGCCCCAAAGAGCCCCAAGAGCCACCCTGAATGGTGGGCAGAGGTGACAGCCGGGCAGGGAGACTGCGCTTTCCAGTTTCTGAAGCCAAACATTCTCCAAGCTGCGGATAAACTAACTTCCCAGCTCGGAGAGGATGACCCACATCATGCACCGTAGAGTCCCCCACCCCAAGATCTGCCCAGACATCTTGAGGATGAGGTCCAGGTGGGCTGAGGGTCTGTGCTCAGGGTGGCACCCCAAAAGCCTGGGGTTTGATTCCTGCCTTTTGCCTTCTTTCCCTTGATCTGAGCCTGGAAGGTCTGCCTGTGCCTGGGTCGCTCCCTGTAGGGCAACCAATAGCCCCCAAACACATGTGCTGGGGTGCCGCAAATTCTAAATCCACATGCCAGGGTCTCCCAGCCCCCTAAACCCACACACTGGGGTCTTCCCAAGCCCTAAACACCCATGCCAGGGTCTCCCAGCCCCCAAAGCCATGTAGCAGGGTCATCCCATCCTTGCTCCAGGCCCCCCAGGCTGTCTCTCTCCAGGCAGCTCCAGTCCCTGATCAGGGTAGGGGGGACCGGGGAGCTGTCAGGGGCCATGTTCCCCTGTGCCCAGCCAGTGCCAGCCCCTCGGAGGGGGACAGGTGAGCTCCATGGGATGGTGGCACAGCAGTGGGGACAGTCACAGCCATCCAAACCCACAAGCCCAAGAGGTCCCACCCTTAGGCCAGGCCACACAGGCCTCCTGCCTGCCCCACCACACCCCAGCTGAGCCCTCCCACAACTCATCACATGCCACCAGCCCAGCAAATCTTTTGCAAAAGATTCACCAGCCAGTGCTGCCCATCTCCAGTTCCAGACTGGGGAATCTGTTGGCACTGGGGAATTGGGAGCTCCCCAGTGTCACCCAGAGCTCCCACCCCACAGCCCCAGCCCATCACTTACTTCCTCCTCTGGAGCCGTGACCAGGAAGGGGTTTGCATTGGAGCCGGTGGAGGACAGCAGAAGGACTGAGGAGAAACAAATTTTCTCATCAGAAGCAGCGTGAGAGGGTCCAGCTGAGGACGAGAGCGTTGCTACGAGGCTGCCCCTGGGACTCACGCTCCCCTGGTGGGGGGGGGGGGGG